GATGGATGGATGGATGGATGGATGAATGGATGGATAGATTAGATGGATAGATGGATATATGAGATGGATGGATGAATATAGATGATAGATGATGCATGAATGGATGGATGGATTAGATGGATAGATGGATGGAAATATGAGGTGGGTGGATGGATATAGATGATAGATGATGAATGGGTGGATGGATAGATTAGATGAATAGAAAGATGGATGGATATAGATAATGGATGGATAGATGGATGGATATAGATGATGGATGGATGGATAGATGAGATGGATAGATGGATGGATATAGATGACAGATGATGGATGGATGGATGGATGGATGGATGGATGGATATGCCAAATGCAGTCTGAACATCTGGCTGACTATGCAATGAATTATTGTTATTATTTTTATTATTATTTTAAGAAGATGCTTGGTCGATAGCTAAGATGCTGGCAGCAACCTGTATCAACCATCAGCATCAGTCAATGATATGCGTGATACATTTTTCAATGTTCAGTTGACGGAGTTTCATGTTTAATGAATAAAAGATGATGATGATGATGATGATGATACAGAATGCAGAATAACAGAGTTGGAAGGGATGATGATGTTGATGATGATGATGATGATGATGATGATACCCATTGTCATCGGGGCACTTGGTACCATGTCCAAGAATTTTATAAAATACATCAAGAAGAAATTGCAGCTTCCTGAAATAACACAGGCGGAACTGCAAAAAACTGTGCTACTCCAAACATTGTACATCTTAAGAAGATACTTGGTTGATACTTATGATGCTAGCAGCAACCCATATCAACCATCAGTGTCAGTCAGTTATAAAATCCCAAAAACTTTAACCTTAAGACTGTCTATTGACCCCTTTCCTAAGAGGTCTGTAGGGGGCGTGCATAAGCGCACCAATGTGCCTACCGTTCCTGTAGTATTGTTTCTTTTTTATTTTTCTTATATGTATCCATTTTATGCATTCATAACTATGTTTATACTTATACCTGTTATCTAATAATCGCTTGACAAACAAACAATAATAATACATTTTTAAATGTTCAGTTGACTGAGTTTCATGTTTAATGAATAAGAGAGATAATAATACAATAGTAATAACAGCACATAATGGCACATAATTGCAGAGTTAATTATTGCAGTTAATGTTCAATAACTGTGCAATGATCAATACACTACTACTACGGCACTACTAATAATAATGCCAAACTCCATCTGAACATCTGGCTCACTGCAATGATCAACATTACTCCTATGGTACTACTACTACGGTATTCCTACTATGGTACTTCTATTACTACTTACAATAACAATAATAATAATGCCAAACTCCATCTGGACATCTGACTGACTGGGCAATGATCAACACAACTACTACTACGGTCTACTACTATGGTACTACTACTACTAACAACAATAATAATGCCAAACTCTGTCTGGACATCTGGCTGACTGGGCAATGATCAACACTACTACTACAGTACTACTAATACGGTATTACTACTATGGTACTACCACTAATAATAATAATGCCAAACTCAGTCTGAACATCTGGCTGACAATGCAATGATCAACAACACTACTACTACTACTATATTACTACGGTACTGGTACTACTACTACTAGGAATAATTCCGGAATTGGCTCCTTCTCGCACGCAGCTACTCCTCCCCTCCAGCTCCGCCAGCCCCAGTCTCGGTCCCGCCCCTCCAAGGCTCCAACTGTGAAGGACGCGCAGCGCGCCCAATAGGAAACCGCTTCCCCGCCTCCTGAAAGCTGCCGGAGCCCGGGCATAGCAGCAGTAGCTGCGGGCAGAAGTGAAAGTAGCGCTGCCGCCGCCGCCGCCGCCGCCCCCGCCCCGGGTCCTAAAGAGCGACGGGAGGCGAGAGCCAAGCTCCTTCCCCGGCGGCTGCCGCTTTCCGGGCGATAATGTTCTGCGAACTGAGCGCTCGCTTCGACCCTTCCCGGGACGTGGGACCTTGGCTTTCGGAGCGGGCGGAGGCGGCTGAGCAGCCGGGACGAGACGGCAGCGCAGGTGAGCGCCGGGCTGGGGCTTTGCAAAGTTTACCTAGGGTGCAAGCAGCCGGAGCAGCCCCGTGGGGCAGAGCTGAGCCCTTCCAAAGTTTGTTTTTTGTGTGTGTGTGCCTTGTTGCATGTGTGGGTGGGGTGAAACCCACGGGGCTCTGCAAAACGAGGAGTGCAGAGAAATCTCTCCCTTGCTCGGCTTCCTTTAGCTCAAAAAGTTGGAATAACCGGCTCCTATCGTGACTAACTTGCACGAGGAAGAAAAGCATTTTTTTCCCCCTCCCCTCTCCTCCAACTAACAAATGCTGCGCTTCATAATTGGATACATGGCCCCTTAGAGCGGTGTGTGTGTGTGTGTGTGTGTGTGTGTGTGTGTGTGTGTCTCTTTCAAACTTGACAGCTTGAAGACTTTGTGGACTTCAACTCCCAGAATTCATCCTCCAGTCAAAGTTTTTTATTTTTTATTTTTATTTATTTATTTTGATTTGTCAATCACTTACAAGATAATAGGTATAAGTATATACATAGTTATGAATACATGAAATGGGTACATATAAGAAAAATAAAAAATAAAAGAAACAATAGGACAGGGACGGTAGGCACGTTGGTGCGCTTATGCACGCCCCCTACAGACCTCTTAGGAAGGGGGTGAGGTCAATAGTAGACAGTCTAAGGTTAAAGTTTTGGGGGTTTGGGGAAGAAACCACAGAGTCAGGTAGAGTATTCCAGACATTGACCACTCTGTTGCTGAAGCCCTATTTCCTGCAATCGAGTTTGGTGCGGTTAACCTTGAGTTTGTATCTATTGTGTGCTCTTGTGTTGCTATGGTTGAAGATGAAGTATTCATTGACAGGACATTGCAATGTATGATTTTATATACCATACAGATCAGACCGAAGATGGTGTAATTCAAGGTTTTCTAGGTCTAGAATTTCAAGTCTGGTGGCATAAGGTATTCTACAACGAGTAGAGGAGTGGGGAACTCTTCTTGTGAAATATTTCTGGACTTTCTCAACTGTGCTCAGGAATTCTGGGAGTTGAAGTCCACAAGCCTTAAAGTGGCCAAGTTTGAAAGACCCTTGACTCAAAGAGATGAATATACCAAGTGGTTCCTCTGGTTAGGACCAAAGTTGGGCCCAGAATGTATGCGGATGTGAGTGAAACATGGCTTAATAGCAATTGCACTTAAGACTTATATACAGTGCTTTACAGCCTTCTCTAAGCGGTTTACAGAGTCAGCCTATTTCCTCCAACAATCTGGATCCTTGTTTTACTGACCTCGGAAGGATGGAAGGCTGAGTCAACCTGGAGCTGGTCAGGATTGAACTCCTGGCAGTTGGCAGAGTTTGCCTGTAGTACTGCATTCTGACCACTGTGGCATGAGGAAGGAGAATAAGAAAGGGATAAGGGAAGGAGGGAGGAGGAAGGAAGGGAGAGTTTGCCTGCAATACAGTATTCTAACCACTGCCACCAGGAAGGAGAGTGAAAAAAAAATAAGAGAAAGAAGGAAGGAAAGGAAAGGAAAGGAAGGAAGGAAGGAAGGAAGGAAGGCAGGCATGGCAATAGTACTTAAGACTTATATACTGCTTCACACTGCTTCACAGCCCTCTCTAAGTGGTTTACAGAGTCAGCCTATGGCCCCCAGCAATCTGGGTCCTCATTTTTTTACCCACCTCAGAAGGATAGAAGGCTGAGTCAAACCTGAGCCTGGTGGGATTTGAACTGCCAAATTGCAGGCAGCCGATAATCAGCAGAAGTAGCCTGCAGTACTGCACTCTAACCACTGCACCACCAAGGTTCTTTAAGCGAGCTTGTTCCTGTTTTATGACTTCTGACCATGGGGATGGGTTGTTGTTAAGCGAATCGCTGCGGTTGTTAAGTGAGTAGAGCGATCGTTCAGTGAATCTGGCTCTCCCTGTGGACTTTGCTCGTCAGAAGGTTGCAAAAGCAGATCGCATGGCCACCATTGCAAATAGGAACTGCTTGCCAAGCGTCTGAATTTCGATCCTGTGACCATGGGGAAGGTGGAACGGTCGTAAGTGTGAAAAATGTCCATAAATCACTTTTTTCCCCAGCGTAGTCACTAAATGAACTGTTGTAAATTGAGGACTACCTGTGTAGAATACTAATTCTATTCTGATCAGCCAAACTTATAGGTGCATCATAGTAATTATAGGTAGCCCCGAACTTACCACTACAATTGAGCGCAAGATTTCTGTTGCTAAGTGAGATGGTTGTTAAGTGAGTTTCACCCCATTTTACAAATTCTCTTGCCACCATTGTTAAGTGAATCACAGCCATTGGTAAGTGAGTCACGTGGTTGTTAAGTGAATCTGGCTTCCCCACTGACTTTGCTTATCAGAAGGTGGCAAAAGAGGAATCACGCGACTCCCGGACGCTGCGACCATCATAACTGTGTGTCAGTTGCCAAGCATGTGAATTTTGATCACGTGGGGACGCTGCAGCAGTCGTAAGTGTGAAACACGGTCACGAGTCTCTTTTTCCATTGTTTCGAACGGTCACTGAATGAACTCTTGTAAGTGGAGGACTACCTATACTGTGACCAGTATACTCTATGTCATATGCTAAATAAATAACTAGTTCAATGTTGCTCTTCCTTGCTGCTAGGCCTGTCTGCATAGGATTGCAACCAGCGCCCTTGAATGGCTGGGAAACAGATCAAAACATCCTCATTTTGTCCCTCTCCACAATATCTATCTATCTCTATATAAAAGCGAAAGACCACTCACGCATCATCACAAAATCTCCAGAACTGTAAAGCCTACAAACTTGAAATTTGGCATGTATGTTCCTCTTGCCTTCTAGGTGCTCACCAAGAAACGATTTTTGAAAATGACCACCAGAGCTTCAGCATTTCATATATTATTATTATTAACACGCTCTGATGCTAAGGAGTTCTACTCTCCCTCCCCACCTGAAAAGAAATCTGTTCCAAAGGCAAAACACAAGCAGAGGAGAGGAGTTTCCGTTTCAGTTTCACAGCACCAAGCAGCTTTAGTATACAGAACGGTTGAGCTAAGCCACGCCCAGGCTCCTTGTTCTCTCCTTCTTGCTCACACAGCAAATACTGTTTCCGTTTCCAAACAGCCCTCAACTCTCTCACACACTGACAGGACGCTAGCCAGATGAATACCAATGGATGCTGGTAGTCAGATTTCCCCCCTTTATTTTCCTCCCCCAAAACTAAGCCCGACCACATAGTTTCGTAGCGAAGCACGAGTATCGAGCTACTTTTGAATATGTGGGCTAGGGAATCATGTCCTTAATTCCACTAGAGCTGATGATGTTGCCTAGTTGGGTCATGAAACGTCTGCATGAAAACCACCAAGCTCAGAGAGCACCAAGGACCCTCTCCTGTCAACCCTGAGCTACAGATATTCTCCTTTATTAAAATCATATCCTTCTTGCAGGATTAGGAAATCCATTGCTAAAATCTCCAAAAGCCATTAGTAGATTCTCTTGACCATTGCACCACTCTTAAGAACAGGTTTTATGGTTTTTCAATATTTGGCCTCTAAACAATGTATTTGTTTGATTTTTTGGAGGGGTGCCTGGCTTCAACAAAGTTAATCATTGCTATTTCTCCCTGAAATTAAAGGAAATTTAAATAGTACTTGACTTTTGGCTGCATCTTATCTCAGTTACTAAATATTAATAGTGATCTTTGGTGCCAAGAATGATGGATACTTTGAGTCTATTCAGATATGTAATTGAAACTACCTGTAAAAAAAAATAACAAAGTGCTAATTGATTTGTTATTGAAACTTCCTTAAAAGGTAACATAAGGTCATCTACTAGTGTGTAATCATTGAAAATGAGAGTTTAGGAGGAGGAAATGGTTAAGAAAATAATGGAACATGCAGAAATGAATAGATTAACATTAGCAATTAGAGAGAAAGAAGAAAAGGAATATTATAACATTTGGGATTTATTTTATGAATGGTTAGATAGAAGAGTAAGAAATTGAAGTGTATTGTAATAGTAATGATATATTATAATTGGTTAGTTTTGAATAAGTTACTAATATAATTTAGTAAGAGTTGAGATTTGCTTTTAAAAATAGCCTGGAATAATAATGATACAATATGATATAGAATGTTGATTAGAATATAATATGAATGTAAATTTAAGAGGTAAGGTTTATAAAAAAATGTAAATATTTTTTTTTATTTTTAGACAAACATACACAAACAAAACATAAAACAAAACTATCTTCCAGTTACATACATACAGTGTGTCGGTTGGTTACAAATTCTTTGTGCATCCTCTCCATAGTCCTCACTTACAGTTGTTTGTATAAATTCTCATATTATCAATCTAATATATATGTATACATTATTATCATTATTAATCATTTATTTGACTAAAACTATTATTCCTTCATTTTATACGAGATAATCAACATTTTAAATTAGTTTATATTATAACAATTCATTATATCATGCTAAATCCATCCAATAGTAACACATCTTTATATTATATTCTATATTCTATTATCCTTGTAAAATTTTCTACCATATTTCATTTCCATATTTTTTTGTCTAACTATAAAATAAATCCTATATCTTATAAAATTGTTTATCTTCTTGTTCTCTAATTTCAAATGTCAATTTACTCATTTCAGCACATTCCATTATTTTCTTGATAACTTCCTCCTGCATTGGTATTTTCTCATTTTTCCAATTTTTAGCAAATACAATTCTAGCCGTGGTTAATACATTTACAATCAAATATTTCAATTCCCTACTGTATATTTCCAGCAAAATCCCCAATAAAAATATCTCTGGTTTAAAGTCTATGTGTTTCTTTGTCATTTTTTCCAACCATGTGTGGATTTTAGTCCAATATCTTTTAGCATCCGTACAAGTCCACCACATATGGTAATATGAACTCGGTATCTGATGACATTTCCAACATTTTTTGGATTTATTCTTAAACATTCTTGCTATTCTCGTTGGGGGTAGGTGCCACCTGTAAAATATCTTATAC